TGTTTGTAATGACTTATCATGAGAACAAACGTATTCACGTGACTTTAATAACATTTATTACTTCATGGAAACACTGCTGGTCAGAAACAAGTTTTGAATCGGCTCCATCAATAACTGGAAGTCTCTCTGGTCAGAGTCTACAACGTGGAAACTGGGAAACTGAAGAAGAGTTTGAAGGGCTCGAGCAGTGATGAAGGCTCTCTGCTGAAGGTAAACTCCTCCTCTTCCTCACTTCCTGATAAAACCAGGACCGGACCAACAGTCCTCTCCTCATCTGCAGGTCCAGATGGATCCTTCAGGGTCCTTCTTCGCCACCAGCTGCTCTAATAAAAACATCACCATCTTTGACTACGAGTCAGGAGAATGTGTGGCCAACCTGTTCGGTCATTCAGGTGAGGGAGGAGTCTGTCTGTTAGCAAAATATCTCATGATCCACTCAGTTAATGACACTGACCTGCAGCTAACCTGATTCAAGATGGCTGCCACACCTGTTGTTTACAGAGATCATCACCTGTATGAGGTTCAGTCAGGACGGCAGACACCTGATCTCTGTGTCAGGAGATGGGTAACACACACACACACACACAGACAGACACACACAGACACACACACAGACACACACACACACACAGACACACACACACACACACAGACACACACACACACAGACACACAGGAAGTTTCAGCAGGTCTGAGTTGTTGTCTCTTGTTGTGTAGCTGTGTGTTTGTGTGGAGGCTGGACCCTCACATGACGAGCATCATGAGGAGGAGGCGTGGCCTCAGAGCGGCGGAGCCGACCATCAGGTGGGTCAGGTGTTCCTGCTGCTGGAGGACAGCACTAGCTGCATTAGCATTATTAGCTTCACAACGATGTGTTTCAGGAGGGAGACCTTCATCACGGCGCCTTCAGCTCCCCTGCTTCACATGGATGAAGACGAGCAGGACGGGTTGGACCTCAGCACTCCAGGAAGACCAGACCCAGATCCTCGTGAGGACCTGGTGCCTCTCAGATCACCTGAAGGTAACCGTGAGCRTGGTGAATCAGACGTTTCAGTGAGAGTTCTCTGCAGTGTTAACAACCCCACAGGTGGGTCAGGTCCMTTCACAGGACCGGTTCTGACTCGGCTGAGCTTCAGATCCACTGAGTCCATCTGGGTTTACCTGCTCTGATTGGTCCACACCAGGTCTGGTTCTGATCCGGTCTCTGTGTTTCAGCCGCTCCGCTGCTGCACACCAACGGGAAGCTCCCCATGTGGTTCAGAAAACTGGTAGGTTCTGGTTCTGGTTCTGGTTCTGTCCACCTCCTCTGATCCGTTTGATCCTCAGGTGTTCCTGTCCTGCAGGCTCAAGGTGAGGACTCCGTCGTCCAATCAGACGCTGAGCCTCGGCCGCTGCGGAGCCGGTGGGCGGAGCAACCAAAGCCCCTGATCCTCTGCGCCACCTCTACCCCGAGTCCCAGCAGGAGTCAGGAGGAGCAGGAGGAGGAGCAGGAGGAGMAGGAGTTTCATCCTCAGAGTCTGGAGGAGCTGCTGGCTGATGAAGAGGAGGAGGAAGAGGTGAGCATCAGAGTCTCCATCCTCAGTCAGCTGACAGGAAGTTGTCTGAACATGTCACCATGTGGCGTTCAGGTGCTGCAGACAGGTGAAGGCACCTTCATCCTGCACCCAGGCACAAGCTCCGCCCCCTCCCACAGGTCAGTCTCTCTCATCAGACTTCCTGTGGTTTTGTTCGTCTCTAAACAACACTTCCTGTTTTCAGAGACTTCAGGGTGGAGGGTGTGGCCTGTCCTCAGGGGGCGGAGCCTGTGTGGAGGGCTCAGCTGAGTCCGGACTCTGCGTGTTCTGAGGGTTCCACAGGAAGTCTGGAGCAGCAGCAGGACCCGGGTCAGTTCTACCTTCCTGTTTCTGGACTCGTGATGTCACAGGAAGTTGACAGGTGCTCTTCCTCCTCCTCTTCCTCCTCTTCCTCAGACACAGACTCTCTGAGTCAGGGCAGCTCTGTGGGCAGCTTGGGTCCAGAGGAAGACGAGGACAGGAACTCTGTGAAGAACCACTTTGAGACTCTGGAAGGTGAGGACCTACTCTTCCTCCTTCATGATGATGATGATGATGATGATGATGATGACCACCACCTCTGGACCTGCAGAACACTTCGACACCGACCCGGCGACCCTGCAGCCTCCAGAGGAGAAGCACTTCCTGAACCCTCGCCTCAGTATCTCCACCCGCTTCCTGTCCCGCTTCCAGGACCGAGTCAGGTCTGCTCCCCCACAGTCCTCGCAGGCCGACAGGTGGTCGTCATGGTAATATTTGTTTGCTGTGATTCAGGGCGTGGCCTGTACGAGCTCCGCCCCCCGCCTCTGTCCCAGGCAGGATCTCAGAGGAGAGCGTGGGATCAGTAAACAAAGACGATGTCATCCCGCCCTCTAAAGGTCCGACCCAGAGGAGCAGCAGGCCTGCAGGTGGGTCAGCAGGACCTCTGAAAACTGATGRAGGAACTGTAGGTTCTGAGGCCCGGCCCGGTCCGGTCCAGGTCAGGGTTATTGTAGTTAAATAAAACTAACTAAATAACCAAAACTGAAAGTGAAAAAACATTTTAAGTAACTAAAATAAATAAAAACTGTAATAAAATGAAAAATCAAAAACTACCTTATTCAAGTATAATACGTAAAATTAAATCCATAAAATCATCCATAAATTTGGGGGGTAGTATTATACTCGGATAAATACTTTTACTTAWGTATTTTAATTGAAATATCGGCAAAATTGAGTCCAGAAATGAGACGGCATCGTAAAAATCATTTGAAACGAGCTCACCTCTGACACTCCTCTGTGCTTCAGAGTGAGATAATAACAGATCCATCAGGAGACATGATGTGAAAAAATCAGTCCTGTAGCTCAGTAATGATAACAAACTAATGACATCAGTGTGTGACCGAGCCGCTCCTCGAACAACAACAAACACATGTTYGTCTGTAATGGCTGCCGTCTACCGGTGTTCTGAAAAAGTTTGTATCCCTGAAAAACGTTTCCCCACCAGAGGGGGCGCTC